ATAGGCCAGGGCAGAAGGGGGGATTCCATAACTGTTTAGCACACGTTTGGTCAAAGGATGGGCTTCACTTGTCTCTTTGACCAGTTGTAATATGATGCTACTAATGGCAAAACTCACTAACGATGCCGACTACGATGCGTGCGAACGTCTTGTAATTTACTACATCCACGGTCCGAATTTGGCATTGATTATACATATAATGGACTCCGGACAAGGTGCGTTCCTCTAAGTCTTCCTACCAATGTGATCAAGTTGCGAAAACAAGGTCAAACAACTTTCTTATACAATGTTGTCACAAAGACTGCTGCGCGTTTTACTCTTGAGAGACTTGTGAACTAAAAATGTAAATTATATTTATATATTCTATAAAAATGGCGATACTTAAATATTGATGCTGTAATTATGTTATTTTGGCGTTTGAGGCACGAGCATCCTTATAGCCTATTGAAACGTCTATCAGAACAACTATCAAGAAATTAATCATTGTTTAATAAGCTTGATGCTAAAATAATTTTGCTTATGTAGGTTGACAAAAAGAGTCCTCAGCTGTCCATTGTGGTCATTCTCATAATTGTATGGATCGGGGCCTTATCATATAACCAGTGATAGCAACAAGTAAGAATACAACTACTTAGCTAATATTAATGATAATCACCATACTGTATTTAGTACGTGCAGTTGCGAGGAGCTATCACCTGAGTCTTAAAGGGCAAGTGGCACAAGAATGCAAAAATGTTTAAAATAAAAAGTATTTAGAGCCAGTTTTCTGGCCAAATACTAGACGAAAGAGTTGTTAAATTTTTTTGATACGGTTGAGTTAATTATATCGGTCCAAGGTAATTTAAATAGGAAGTTTGTAAAACAAATTTCAAGGTTTTTTTACCTAGTGCTACATGGTCAGAGAATTAAAAGCATTAGCTTAATTAATATCGTTAGATATAGTGGGAATATATTTAAAAGTCACTATCCTTAATTGTTTTGCTTTAATAATTTTTATGCTAAATATTTTAAGTAATTCATTTATATTTGATACAGCATGAGAGAAAGAGAGTGTTAAGAGAGCTTGATCTCTTTAACCCACAGCTTCAACGATCAGTAATTCCAATATTTTTTATTAATTTGCAAAATATTTTAAGGTTTTTTACACCAAGTTATTGTTTTTAAAGTTGAAGCATAATTAGTTTTAGCCTATAAAATTAATTATTTTAAAAACAATGATACATCAATTATGGAATGTATGCAGCATATAATAATAGTACGCAACATAAATTTCTCAAATTTAAGATATAAGTCCTGCAAGCGATTAAAACTCTCTAGCGAAAATAATTTATTGTGAAAATTCAAGATCCATCACATTTAACTGAAGGCAGCATCCAAACATGAAATATGAGGCTAAATTTGAACGTTTGTCAGAAGTGTATGCGCCTTTCGCTCCTCAAACTTCTACATATATATTTTCTAAGATCAAAAACAACTTTAAAGCCATAATCTTGAGTAATTTTTTAAATATACTACTTTTTTGCCATATGTATACGTGCCTTTATTAGCTTTTGCACAAAAATAATAATATAGGTCTATTCTGAAATAAAAAATTTATTTTGTTTTCTTAAGCTTAAATTATCATCACTAAGCAGATTATGATTTAGAAACTAATATTTACTAATTCGCTTTCCCCTTAACGGCGGGTCCGCTAGATTGGCTGAGGCCTAATGTCTGCTGCTATCCGGAAGAAGCTTGTTATTGTCGGGGATGGCGCTTGTGGAAAAACCTGTCTACTCATAGTTTTTAGCAAGGACCAATTTCCAGAGGTTTATGTTCCTACCGTGTTCGAGAATTACGTTGCGGACATAGAAGTTGATTCCAAACAGGTATTCACTCTATTTTTTTCATTTGTTTAAGGTTGAATTAGCGCTATGGGACACTGCAGGACAGGAAGACTATGATAGACTCCGCCCCCTTTCTTACCCCGATACAGATGTGATATTAATGTGTTTTAGCATTGATTCCCCTGACAGCTTAGATAATATTCCTGAGAAGTGGACTCCCGAAGTTTGTGTATTAACATGTCTTTAATCATTTAGGTAAAACACTTTTGC